ACACACAAAATTTACAATAATCCAGACATCAAAAAACTTAACACATCGAGTACTAAACATTAGTGGCGAACAATTTCATGTTGGAAGCAAACCAAAGATCAAAAACATCCTTATTAAAAACAATTTTCCATCACAAATCATAAACTCATTAATAACAGAATACAAACTAGCAAAACGGACATCAGACGCGAGAACACGAACAGAAACTAGAACACGAAGAAAATATTCAAATCACTCATATATTTGCCCAATATCTCAGAACGATTGGAGAAATCTGACATATACGACAAAACCAAATATACCATTCCACACAGTTCTAGCAATGCAACAAAGTCAATATTTAGTAAATTGAAACGTAAAAAAACATAACGTGTTTTACCAAATTGATGTGGCGGTAACAATGAGGAAGGCTGCAAAAAATAATGCGTCGGCAAAACGAAAAACAAATTAAAAACTCGAATTTTAGGACACTGTCGGACATAAAATTAAGAAAATGCTACAGGCAACTCACACGGGGTAGAGGTCGTGCAATGAATAAATGTTAATCAGTGCAATAATGTAACTTGACGAAGTAGAAATGCTACGCTAGCTTTAAGTTAAATATTATTTGTTAGTATTTATACACACGTAAGTTTTAGTTGGTATTAGAAATGGCTGTGATAGAGTTAATTAGTCGTACTTTGTTTATTTTTATTATCATCGAATTTTGAAAAAAGAAAAACAAAACAAGTAACAAGTAAAAAAGCAGTAAGTTCGGCCGGGCCGAACTTTTAATATGCTCCACCATTTGAAACGAATTAAATAAAAAAACTCCTTATATAGAATTTAAGACAATTCCGTTTAAAAATGTGGCTAAAATCATCAAAATACCGAATATCGGCGGGTACCGTTATATGGGGGATATACGATATCATGGACCTATATAGAGAACTCCCTGTCAGTGGGTAAAGTGTTCACAAAGAACCCCTTGTGTGTATTTTCATACAATTCCATTGGAAAATGTGGCTAAAATCATCAAAATACCGGATATCGGGGGTACCCTTATATGGGGGCTATACGATATCGTGGACCGATATAGCCCATCTTCGAACTAGACCTGCCTACAGACAAAAGAGAGATCTGGGCAAAACTTTAGGTTTATATCTTAATGCGTTTAGCCTGTAGCGTGATTACAACAGACGGACAAGGCTAAATCGTCTTAGAATTTTACGCTGATCAAGAATATATATACTTTGTTGGGTCTAAAATGATTATTTCGATGAGTTACAAACGGAATGACGAACTTAATATACCCTCCATACTATGTATGGTGGAGGGTATAAAAAAGCTGTAAATTCAACTGTTCCGGACTTTGAATACCCTCCACCGTTTGGAACGAATTTGGCAATTTTCAAAAAAAAAATCCTTTAAAAATTCTGTTAAAATCTTAAAAATACCGAATGTAGCCGTTATATTAGGGTCTATACGACGACGTGGACCTACATAGGCAACTTTTCTCAATATTCAAATACAAAACTTGAATAAAAAATTCGGTGAATAATGTAGCTAAAGTCATCAAAATACCGAATATATACAAAGACGTGGACCTGCACAGACAATTTTCTATCTTAGGCTGTAGTACCAATTACGAATTTCAAACACCAAATACCGAATAATGGGGGGAACCGCTATATGGGGGCTATACGAAGACGTGCACCTGCACAGACAATTTTCTGTCATAGGCTGAGTACCCGTTAGGAACTACAAATATCAAATTTGAAACATTTCCGGGGAATAATGTCCCTTAAATCACCAAAATATCGAAAAAAGGGAGGAACCATTATATGGGGGCTATACGTGAACGTGGATTAAACAAAACGTGGAGCTACATGACCCATTTTCAATACCAAAAGTTCTACAGACATAATACACATTTGAACAAAATTTTATCAACCTACTTCATTTCATTCGGAAGCTAGAGTGATCGCCACAGAGACAGACGGACGGACATCGCTACATCGACATAGAATTTTATGCTTATCAAAAATATATATACTAAAATGCATATTTCGAGGTGTTACAAACTGAATGACAAACTTAATATCCCCTTCATACTATGGTGGAGAGTATAAAAACATAAAAAAGCTATTTTAAATAGCAAAAATGATCAACAAATGCGAAAAAAGCTATGTAAACATATGATAAAATAGCTGAGCAACAAATACATCAGAAATACTTTAATTTTTATTGGCTGCTGCTTTTATTAACTTTTAGGCTGGAGAGACAATGGATTCCAATACCAGACCAGAAATCACACTGTCAAATTACGGGTTGGAGATGATCCAGATTTATTGAATCAATGAATATATGTATGTCTGGGTAGTAGAATCCCTCCCGATTCCAATTTCTGGACTCAATTATTTTCTGTGTTAGGCAAAGTATACTAAATAGAGAAGTATGAATTAATCAATTATTAATTATACAAGACCAAGAAATCATCGAATATTTTCCTTCACCAATGGCTGGGAATCGCTTCGAACAAGAGACAATGAATAGCAATTCGCTCGAAAACAATAATTTTTATAATTTTTTCACCATAGTATGGAGGGTATATTAAGTTTGTAACACTTCGAAATTCGAAATTGAAAATGGGTCATATAGGTCTACGTTTTGGTATAACCCCCATATAATGGTACGTCCTTTTTTGGGTTTGTTGGTCATTTAAGCGGCGTTATTCACCAGAAATGTTTCAAATTTGGTATTTGAAGTTCGTAATGGGTACTACAGTCTATGACAGAAAATTGTGTGTGCAGGTCCACGTCTTCGTATAGTCCCCACATAACGGTACTCCCGATATTCGGTACTTTGATGATTTTAGAGACATTATTCACCGGTGAATACAGACATAATATACATTTGTGCAAAATTTTATCAAACTACTTTATTTAGTTCGCAAGCTAGAGTGATTTCCACAGATGGACATCGCTATAACGACATAAAATTTTAAGCTGATCAAGAAGATATATACTTTGTGGGGTCTAAAATGTATATTTCAAGGTGTTACAAACGGAATAACAATCTTAATGTAGCCTCCATACTATTGTGGAGGGTTTAAAAACAGAAACACCAAACAATGAATTTACTACATAAATGAGCGAACACACTACAAGAATATTTTACATACATAATTTAAGAGAAAAAACATTCTTATCACATATACAACAAAGAAAATAAAACATATAAACATATGTATTAAAACTTAAACTCTAGTGAAAAAAAAATCACTTAAGTGCTTACTTACCTAAATAGAAGGTATAAACTATTAAAGCAAAACTTAAGAACTAGTGGATAAAAAATTTAAAGAAACTTAAAACTAATGCTATATCTATGTTGTACTTCCCCCAAAAATTTAAAGAATAACATAAAGAAACACAATTAATATAAACAATTAAAAAAACATTAATTCGGTCGGGCCGAACTTTTACTAACCTCCACCTTATTGTAAAGAAAACATTAGAACCAATTATGACCCACAAATACCAATTTTTAGACATATTTGTGGGAAAATGTGGCAAAAATCATCAAAATACCGAATATCGGGAGGTATCGCTATATATGTATATACAAAAACGTGGACCTATACATACAATCTTTCGCCAACGGAGCTAGAACCTATCATATCCAACTAATTCCAAGTTTTAGACAAATCCGTGAAAAAATGTGACAAAAACCATCAGAATACCGAATATCGGGAGATACCGTTTTATGGGGCTATACCAAAGCGTGGGACTATACATACAATGCTTCGTCACACGAACTAGGACCCATTATGACCTGCAAATACCAATTTTCAGACAAATCCGTGAAAAAGTGTGGCAAAAATCATCAAAATACCGAATATCGGGAGGTACCGTTATATGGGTACTATACCAAAACGTGGACCTATATATCTCATTTTCAATACCAGCCCTCCTAGACACAATGCAAATTATTCTGCCAAATTTTGATGCTCTACATCAAATAATGTGGCCTGTATCGTGATTTCAACAGACGGACATCGTTATGCTGATTATGAATATATATACACTGGTGGCCAAAACTAAAGCAACTGAAATTACAAGGAGAATGAATGCCCTGTAACTTTTTAAAAAATTAAGAAAATGAGAAAGTTTTTCTTGTTTTAAATTAGGTACTTTATTCAGTTTTTAAAAACCTTAAACAAAAAACCAAAATTCATTTTTATACAAAAAATAATGTATGGTAAAGTCAATTAACCCGATTTTGGCTTGGATAAAACAAAAGCAACTCTGTTGTATATTCATATAACCACTGCAATTTCAGTTGTTTTTACCGTGATATTTATCGCTTTTTGCATCCTTCGACATCCTTTTTGAGAAGTTTTTTACAACAGCATGTGTTTTTCTTTTTGTTTTTTAAGTACTGTCCAAAAAAAGTTTAAAAATGGCTAGAAGCAAATACAGTACCTGAATAAAACAGCAATTTATCAGTAACTATGAAAAGAACATATCACAGAATATGATTTGCGAGAAATATTTCATAAATATTTATGTGATTTTATAATTATTTCTGTATACTAAGTCGGTTTTTTGCAACTGTATCAGTAGTAACAGTCTATAACGGATGAAGGCCGTGAAAAACTTCAGCCCGTACTGATCCACAAAAATTGTGAGAGAAGTAAAAAAACAACTATTTAAGAGTTCAACTGGATTGGTGAGAGAGCAATCATTGGATATAAGCTCGAGATCAGTGCGTAGACGAGTAGTGGCAGCTGGTCTGCATGCCCGTAAGACATCAAAAAAGACATTTACATCTGAAAAAATCAATAAGGCTTTCGGAAACGATAATATTAAGTGGAATCAAGCTTAATGGAAAAACATTATTTCTGGGATGAGTCTACGTTTAATATTAAAGGCTCAGACGTGAAAAATTTTACAGTGAGAAGGCCAAAAAATGAAGGACTCAAGCCGCAGTGTTGCAAAGGTACAGTGAAGCATGGGGGAGGGTCAAAAATGGCGTGGCACTGTTTTTCTTTCTATGGACTTGGGCCTATCCATGAAATAAAGGAAGTTATGGATCGGTTTGTTTACAAAGATGTATTGGACATCACGTTGTTCCCTTACGCTGAGTAAAACATTCGGCTCATTTGAGTGTTTCAGCATGACAATGATCCCAAACTTGCATAAAAACTTGTCAAATATTGGTTGCGGGAGTCAAAAATTGATGTTTTGTCATGGCCGGCACAATCACTTGGCCTAAACTCCATAGAAAACCTTTGGAGTATCGTAGATAGGAAGATCAAGCGAGATTCGGAAACAAATAAGCACAACATTATTTAAAGAATCGGGGTGCCTGGGAGAGCATACCACAGGATCAAATTGAGCGTGTTATAGATTCAATGCCTCGTAGTGCCTCGTAGTGTGCAGCTGCTATCAAAAATAATGGATCCTATCGACTACTAGCCAAAATTTAATTATTTTAAAATAAAAAATCAAAAAGTTGCTTTAGTTTTGACCAAGCAAAAATTGGGTCATTTTAGTTTTCGATATATTATTTTTCGTTCAAAATTATTTTTGTATTTTTATTTTTAGTTTCTTTAAAGTGAATTAAAGACCTCATTTAAAAGTGGAAAAATAATTACGATTTGTTTATTTTTGTAAACGATACAGGACATTTATTGTCTTTGCGATTTTAGTTGCTTTAGTTTTGGCCACCAGTGTATATATATATATATATTATGGGGTCTACAACGAATGTTTAGGAATGTTACAAACGGAATGGCAAAGTTAATATACCCTTATTACCTAGGTGGAGGGTATAAAAAGGGTATATTTCTTTTAATTTAAAAAAGCTCAAAAGGCAAAAAAGGTAAGCCTTAAAACATTTGTTCCTCCAGAGCTGGATGAAAAAGTGAAGTTCCTTAATTATTAAGAACAAAAACATTTTTTTGTGAGTGGACAGATAGACACATGGACAGTACGAGCAAGTAAAAAAAGTATAAATTCATCCCGGCCGAACTTTGAATACCCTCCACCGTTTGAAACGAATTTGGCAATTTTCAAAACAATAAAATCCATTAAAAACTCTGTTAAAATCTTAAAAATACCGAATGTAGCCGTTATATTAGGGTCTATACGACGACGTGGACCTGCATAGAAAACTTTTTCCATAAACCATTACAATATTCAAATGCGAAACTTGAATAAAAACATTCGGCGAATAACGTCATACGTTTTAGTATCTGTTACGAACTTAAAATACCAAATTTGAAACAATTCCGGCGAATAATGTCGCGAAAATCCTCAAAATACCGAATAAAGGGGGGTACCGTTATATGGGGGCTATACGAAGACGTGGACCTGAACAGACAATTTGTCTGTCGTAACACCCATATAACGGCACTCCCTATATTCGGTATTTTGATAATTTTAGCTACATTATAAACAGATCTTTTTTCAAGTTTCGCATTTGAATATTGTAATAGCTGATGACAAAAGTTGCCTATGCAGGTCAACGTCGTCGTATAGACCCTAATATACGGCTACATTATGTATTTTTATTTCATATTGTATTTTTTTGAAAATTGCCAAATTTGTACCAAATGGTGGAGGGTATTCAAAGATCGGTCCAACTTTTTTACTTGTTTACAGAATTTTTAACGGATTTAATTTTTTGAAAATTGCCAAATTCGTTCCAAACGGTGGAGGGTATTCAAAGTTCTGCCCGGTCGAATTTACAGTTTTTATACGCTCCACCATAGTATGTAGGGTATATTAATTTGTCATTCCGTTTGTAACACTTCGAAATATACATTTAAGACCCCACAAAGTATATACATTCTTGATCAGAATAAAGTTCTAAGTCGATTTAGCGATGTCCGTCCGCCTGTGGAAATCACTCTAGGTTCCGAACGAAATGAAGTAGGTTGATAAAATTTTGCTCAAATGTTTATTATGTCTGCAGGGCCTTTGGTATTGAAAGTGTGTCATGTAGGTCCACGTTTTGGTATAAGGCCCATATAATGGTACATCACTTCTTTCGGTATATTGCTGATTTAAGCGACATTATTTACCGGAATTTTGGTATTTGAAGTTCGTAATGGGTACTACAGCCTATGACAGAAAATTGTCTGTACAGATCCACGTCTTCATATAACCCCCATATAACGGTACCTCCCGATATTCGGTACTTTGATCAATTTAGCGACATTATTCACCGAAATTGTTTCAAATTTGGTGTTTGAGTTGCGTAATTAATACTACAGCCTAAAATATAATATTGTCTGTGCAGGTCCACGTCTTCGTATAACCCCCATATAACGGTACCTCCCGATATTCGGTATTTTGATGATTTTGGCTACATTATCCACCGATTTCTTTTTCAAGTTTCGCATTTGAATATTTTAATGGTTTATGACAAAATTTGTCTTTGCAGGTCAACGTCGTCGTATAGACCCTAATATAACGGCTACATTCGGTATTGTTAATTTTTTTTTTACTTGTTTTTATTATAATTTTAACATTTTACAATTTAGCACAATATCTATTGCTCTAAAGAGCTTATATCTTTTCTGGACCCAAGGTTAATTTCTGGAATTTTTCGGAGAAATATTTTGCTTTTATTGTCTAGCTTTGCGATTCAAAGCATTTCGACTCTTTTTTGTCATTTTTTCACCCTTTTAAATCCCGTTTTAAAAAATATTTGTATTCTGACCTAGATTGTTATATTCTTTTGTAATTTTTTCCTGGGACTTTACTACTTTTGAATATTTTTGCTTAAATGTTTTGACACAAATCAAGTCCTTTTGAAAAGTTTTGTTCAATAATTTGGATTTTTGACCCTTTTTTGTGAGATAGTTTTGCCATAATACTTAGTTTCTTACATAAATTATTTTCTCTAACTCTCGTTGCAAATTTGATCAATAATTTGTCATATTTAGAAAATTTGTTGAACCTAACAAATTTCCACATCAATAATCAAAGAAAGTTATTGGCTTTTGAAAACTAAAATCTTCCTGTCGTATGATATTAACTGATTTTGACTTACTGAAAGTCCAGCAAGTGGACTTTGAGTGATTTTATTTCTTTTGGGTTATTTTGTCAAAAAGTTGACCCCTTCTGGCAACCCAGCAAACATTTTTAATCAAATCTGTCCTGCGTCAAATACAAGGTAACTTTTTTTGTCTGGGATATTATCCCCAGGAGTTATTTAAACAATAGCTCTTATGACAAAAAACTTTTTTTACCCAAGTGACGAGATCGTAAGCTCAATTGACGAGGAACCAAAGAATTACATACAACTAAAATTCTTTTGGAAAATCTTTTAAATCTTACAACCGCACTTATAAACATTTGCATCCTTCTTCACTTGTTATGCTTTCGTTTTTCATGAACGAAGTAGCAAAACCATGTAAGTTGGCTTTGTCTGTTACAACAAAAACCTCTTCGTCGACCGTGCCTTGTCTATTAATAGAAAAGTGTTGGCTTGTTTGTTCGGGATATCATAGTATTTTGTTGTTGCAAATGATTAGGCTTAACCCCTTTATTGTTGTTTTTATAAAAACAACGTTTGTTTATTAGTGGAGAACTATGATAATGTTCGTTTTTTGTCTGGGATACTCTCCCCAGGAGTTATTTAAAAAATATATTCTATGACAAAAAAAAATGATTACCCAAGTGACGAGATCGTGAGCTCAATGGAAGAGGAACCAAAGAATTACATAGAACTAAAATTCCATTGGAAAATCTTCTAAATCTTACAACCGCACTTATAAAAATGTCTATCTTTCTCCAATTATGCTTTTGTTTCACATGAACGAAGTAGCATAACCATGTAAGTTGGTTTTTCCGTTACAACAAAAACGCCTTCGTCGACCGTACCTTGTCCATTAAAAGAACAGTGTTGGCTTGTTTGTTCGGGATACAATAGTATTTTGTTGTTGCAAAATGATCAGGCTTAATCCCTTTATTGTTGTTTTTATATGTCGATTTAGCGATGTTCGCCCGCCCGTTATCGGAAGCATAGCTGAATGCTACCGGACGCGTCCACAGATTGCGGATAGTGGAACACCCAATAGATATATTGGGCAGCTGTGAATAAATAAGCAGTCGCGGACAATTCAGCGGTACCGGGGGGATAGTCTCGGAACAAATATGTGTTCCTCGGTTTGCAGACAGGGACGTCATCCATGACAGCATTCACAAGCACAGTAAACAATTTTCCGCTCTCCTGGAAAAGACAAAAACGCTCAGTCAGGAAAGTGTTCCTTCTGGCTTCGGAAATGACTCACCACTCTCTGATAAGGAACTTGACATCACGGTCATTTCCTCGTCTCAAAGTGGTAAGTCATTTCAAAAAGCCGCTAAGAACACCCCTAACGAGACTTGTGCAGAGTCACAAATCCAGGAAGGATAATCGTCGGTCACTTCCGATGTCTTAAGCCTCGATCGGCAAGACGCCATCAACGTAGGTGCTGACAGGAATCCTACCAGCAACCCTATCTCTCACGAAGGCGCCGACTCGAAGCAGGCGAAAGCAAGGCGGGGCTATAAAATGTCGGTAAATACTGCAAGAAATTTATCGGCCAGGACCTCGAGAGAGAGAGTATTCTGATTAAGATGAACCTCAAAGTAATTGCAATGTTCGAAAAGAACCATCCGCATTTACCAAGCTGTCTCTTAATCAGGCTCTTTAGCTTTCCTACCATCTGCTATCAATAGCAGGGTAGACCAACCTCTGTTAAGGGCCCTGTGAAGGTCAGTAAATCTACCACCGACAACACGACCACTCAGGTTGATGTTCACGCGGTGGTGGTTAATGCCGACCCCGCGGGGTAAAACCCGTAAGGTATTGACAGCTTGGGTGCCACTACCATCTGTGGATCCGGCACGCATCCTGACAATACTGGGCAAGCAAAACCCCAACCTCAGAACAGACAACTGGCGTCTTGTCAGTTCAAGCACTGAGGGAGGTGGCCTGGTCATCAAGGTATCTATGGAAACGGGTTGTCTGGAGTACCTTCAAGCTCGTGGGGGAAACTTGCATTTCGGCGCCGGTTGGATCCGTTTCCGGCTAAGGCCGTTGCATTAGCAGGAAGGAAAAAGAAGCTACTTAGCATCATGCAGATTAATCTGAATCACTGCAAAGCAGCTGCTGCCGAACTCCTCCTATCCCTCACGAAAGCTGAAGTAGACATAGCCTTAATTCAGGAACCCTATATATACAATAATAGGGTACTGGATTAGGGAGTGGGCAGTACGTCTCTTACCCGGTCTCCAATGGTGATAAGGTAAGGACGTGCATTGTTGTGAAAACAGTTTAAATCTTATCTTCTTTAGCAACTACAGTGGAGGAGACGTTACGGTGGCGGGAATGGAATCTGAATCTAAATCTAAGCGACCTGACCCACCTAGTCACGAAATAGAGGAGCTGCTTAAAGATCTGGCTGACAAAGGGCATCTAGTTATGGGTTGTGATGCAACGCACACCACTTCCAATAGGGCAGCAACGATACCAATGTCAGAGGTGAGTCCATTTTTGATTTTATCTTGAAATATAATCTCAAAATATGTAATAGGGGCAATGATGCAACATTTCAAATCAAAGACAGGACAGAGGTCAGTGACCTCACCCTTACTAACAAGGATGAATCTCTTATACAAGACTGGAAAGTTTCTCCTGAGTGATCGTTTTCAGATCACCGGAAGATAGTTTTCAAAATCTTAGTAGAGGGAATTCATCAAAAACCTTATAGAAAACCAAGGAAGGCAAATTGGGACAAATTTGGGGATCTGGCCATACCTAGGCTTCACTGTTTCGACAATAACTCTCGATATAGACAACTCCGTAAATGCGATAACGAATGCCTTGCTTGATTGCTATGAAAAAGTCTGTCCGCTAACCTACCCAGGCAGGAAATGCCAACCAGTTTGGTGGTCAAAACAATTATGTAAGTTAAGGAGGGACAGTAGACGATTGTACATTAGGGCTAACAAGACCAAACCACGTACGGACTGGGATGCCTTAAAAAAGTACAATTGTAAGCTTATCCGAAATTAAGTGGGCTATAGACACATTCAAGCCTTTTAAGTCCCCAGGGCCAGACGTCATTATTCCCGCTATGATCTAACGTGTCTCAGCGTCAATATCCCCAATACTGGGGGAGATTTCCAAAGCTTGTCTGTGCCTATCCTACATCCCGGAATTATGGAGAGAAGTCACAGTCACTTATATCCCCAAAGCGGGGAAACCGAGTCACTCACTTCCTAAGGACTACAGACCGATAAGTCTCTCATCCTTTCTATTGAAAACATTGGAAATGTTGATAGACACAAATTAGATCTTTACTACCCAAGACCGCCATCAGAACTGATCAGCGTGCCTACATGAAAGGTAAATCTGTTGAAACAGCGCAACATGATGTCGTAGGGTATATAGAGAAGAACATGAATGGCTCCTTGTTCACCTTGGCTGCCTTCCTCTATATTGAGGGAGCCTTCAACAACGTCACGTTAGAATCCATTCACGATTCACTATCAAAACTTAAGGTACCCCAACTCCTCATAGACTGGATTGATACGACGCTTAGTAGCAGAATCATCAACTCGAGCATTGGGGAAACATCCGTCAGGAAATCGGTCACTGGGGGCACGCCGCAAGGGGGTGTCCTATCACCATTACCCTGGCTTTTGGTTATTAACGACATACTCATAGACTTGATCGCACTCTATTCCAGTAAGAACTCCATAGGTAAAAGCTGGGGCCTCAAACCACACATCATTAAATGGATGTATGAGTCAATTGCTCGCCCCATTCTGTCCTATGGAGGTCTACTATGGTGGCATTCCTTGAAGAATTCAACCTACTTACGGCACATTGACAAAGTTCAGGAGCACATCTTAAGCAGCACTGCAAACCCTACTGTTAAGTTCACTGAGCATACATGTAGAGGAACAGACATTCAGGAGTGCTCTTTGACTCAGAGAAATAAACGAATGGCGCAGTCAACCCTTTGGACATTCTACGATTCTAAGACGCGATTCTGTGGGAGTGGTAGCCAATACAAAAGACTATATTTCACCACGGTTGAGCTTTGACCCACCTAACATACACATATCTAACAGAGACGCCTGGGCCCATAACAACACACCTTTCCGCAGCATAGCTGTTTATACCGAGTGTTCAAGGATGGACTGTGGAACTGGAGCTGCTGTCTTTTGTGCTACCCTTAATGTTTGTAAGACCTATAAGCTTGGAAACGACTGTAGCGCATTTCAGGCGGAAATCTTTGCGGTCAAAAAGGCCACAGACTTGCTGGTCACGAGGAATACTGAGGTTAGCGTTCAGGTGACTATATATGTCGATAGTCAGGCGGCACTAAAGGCAATAAATTCCTTTACCATGAAGTCTAGGGCTGTTTTGAACTGCAGAAAAGCTTTGGAAACACTGGGTTGTCCATCAAGCTCTGTTGGGTTCCTGGTCACTCAAACATCCCAGGTAACGAGACTGCAGACGAATTGGCAAGGCTAGGATCCGAATCAACTACCATTGAAGTAGATAACTGGTTAAACCACCACTGTGCCATTTCCTACAGGTTATTCACAGACATTACTCTGAGAGAATCCAACAAAAATGTCTGGACGAAATGGGTTGCACCATCTCCAAAAGAATCTGGCCCACACTCTCAGAGTAGAGAACAAAGTCGCTACTGTCATTGTCGAAACCTGATCTAAAGCTTGTGGTGGGTATCATCGCAGGTCACTGTAAGGTGAGGTCAATGACCTCGAAATGGTGTAGCAACTGCCCAACACTCATTAATGTGTGGCTGGTGGGTGAACTAGTGTAATTCTTCAATTAGCCAGAAGATTCAAGTGGCTAAAGACGGCACGGCAAATTCCTTAGCCGTAGATCACACTCTATAACTCTATCTTCTATTTTCACTCCCTTCTACCAACCATTCCTTCCTTTTTTCTTACTATTCTTCTAGAATGAACACAATGGACCTATAGGTCTCCGAGTGGAGCGGTTACCAAATGGTAACTGCGCGACCTTTAACCTAACCTAACCTAACCTACCGGTGTCCGTCCGTCTATCCGTCTGTGGAAATCACTCTAGCTTCCGAACAAAATGACGTAGGTTGATAACATTTTGCTGAAATGTGTATTATATCTGCAGAGCTCTTGGTATTGAAAGGGGGATGTAGGTCCACGTTTTGTATAGCCCCCATGTAATGGTATCTCCCTTCTTTCGGAATTTTGGTGATTTAAGCGACATAATTAACCGGAAATGCTTCAAATTTGGTATTTAAAGTTCGTAATGGGTATTACAATCAAAAATTGTCTGTGCAGCTCCACGTCTTCGTATAGTCCCCATATAACGGTACCTCCTATTATTCGGTATTTTGAGAATTTTAGCGACATTTTTTACCGGAAATGTTTCAAATTTGGTATTTGAAGTTCGTAACTGATACTTCAGCCTATGACAGAAAATTGTCTGTGCAGGTCCACGTCTTCGTATAGCGCTCATATAACGGTACCTCCCGATATTCGGTATTTTGATGATTTTAGCGACTTTATTCACTGATATTGTTTCAAATTTGGTATTTAAATTCGTAATGGATACTACAGACTGTGAGAGAAAATTGTATGTATGTACAGGTCCACGTTTTGGTATGGCCCCATATAATGGTACCTACCGATATTCGATTACGTATTTAGAGTGCGTAACTACAGTCTGTGACAGACAATTGTCTATGCAGGCCCAGGCCTTCGTATAGGCCCTATATATCAGTACCTCCCTATATTCGGTATTTTGACGATTTTGGGTACAATACTCGCGGAAATTGTTTGAGATGTCGTGTTTGAGGTTCGTAATGGAAGCTACAGCCTGTGACAGAAAATTGTCTATGCTGGTCCAGATCTTCGTATAGCTCCGATATAATGGTACCTTTCTATATACGGAATTTGATGATTTAAGCTAAATTATTCCCCGTTTATTTTATGTTTTGAATTTGAATATGGTAAAGGCTTATGACAAACATAGCCTATGTAGGTCCACATCGTAAAGACCCCAATATAACGGCTGTATTCGTTATTTTTAAGATTTAAACAGAAATCTTACAAATCTTACAACCGAACTTATAAACATTTTCATCTTTCTCCATAACAAGTTTTACATCTTCATAACAAGTCTTACATGTTTACAGCATAACCATGTAAGTTGTTTTTGTCTGTCACAACAAAAATGCCTTCGTCAACCGTACCTTATATGTTAATAGAACTTAATAGAATTGGCTTGTTTGTTCGGGATACCATAGTATTTTGTTGTTGCAAAATGATCAGGCTGAATACCTTTATTTTTGTTTTTTTATAAAAACAACGTTTGTTTATTAGTGGAGAACGATGGTGGTGTTTACCAGTAAGGGTAAGGCATGGAATACCTAGTTTTCGGAAAGAGCCACCAATCCACATCAATTCCCTTGTTATACCTTTCATCATTCCATGGAGGGTATATTAACTTGGTCATTCCGTTTGTAACTCCTCGAAATATTCATAACAAAATTATTTGAATTTTTGAAAAAAAAAAAATCAATATTGGAGTCTGGCGGACCGTTTGTAACACCTCAAAGTGTACATTTAAGACCCCACAAAGTATGTATATTCATGATCAGCATAAAATTCTATGTCGATTTAGCGATGTCCGTCCCTCTATCCGTCTGTAGAAATCACTCTAGCTTCCTAACGAAATAAAGTAGGTTGATAAAACGTTGTGTAATATCTGCAGGACTGTTGGTAATGAAAATAGGTCATATAGGTCCACGTTTTGGTATAGCCCCCTTATAATGGTACTTCCCCTTTTTCGGTATTTTGGTGATTTAAGGGACATTATTCACCGGAAATGTTTCAAATCTGGCACTTGAAGTTCGTAATAGGTACTACAGCCTATGACAGAACATTGTCTGTGCAGGTCCACGTCTTCGTATAGCCCCCATATGAAGGTACCTCCCCTTTTTTCGGTATTTTGGTGATTTAAGCGACATTATTCGCCGGAAATGTTTCAAATCTGGCACTTAAAATCCGTAACGGATACTACAGCCTATGACAGTATGTATGTACAGGTCCACGTTATATAGTCCACATATAAAGAACCCCCCGATATTCGTTATTTTGATGATTTTAGAGGCATTATTCCATGATTTTTTTTATTCTAGTTTCGAATATGAACATTGTAATGGTTTATGACAAAAGTTGCCAATGCAGGTCCACGTCGTCGTATTGACCCTAATATAACGGCTACATTCCGTATATTTTAAATTTGAATCGAATTTATAAGGGATTTTTTTTTGGAAAATTGCCAAATTCGTTCCAAACGGTGGAGGGTATTTAAAGATTGGCCCGGCCGAATTTACAGCTTTTATACCCTTCACCATAGTATGGAGGGTATATTAAATTTGCCGTTTGTAAATGTGAATTATGTTTGCAGGGCTTTTGGTATTGAATGGGTCATGTAAGGGAAATATTTCAAAT